CGGCGCAGCCATGCCAGGGCCCATAAAAGACACAACGCCGTCTGTGAGTGTTGAATCAGAGCAACAATGGTGTCTGTGCTGTGCAGATGAGAGCACGCTGCCCGGTGCCAGCGTGTCACTGGCGTTTTGTCTCCGCCAACCTGGAACAGAGTGGCACCGGGGACGCAGCTCCTCCCAGCCCTGCTCTTTGTCTTCCAACATCAGTATCTGTCCTATCCCCACTTAGATCGGGCTGAACGGGGGCTTTGTGCGCGTCTCCCTGCTGATGCTGATGGGATAGCTGTTTGTCCACACCTGTTGGCTCTTCACCTCCTTCTGATGCAGATTATGGTGCGCCCCGCTGACCTTTGCCCCTGCCATTGTTCCTCTGAGCTCTGTTCCCGCAGAGATAGCACAGTGAGCGGCCCCTCGTAAAGATAGCCCCAAACGATGTGTTTGCTCGGACATCCAAACATCCACGCGCGCAAGCCCAACCTTTGACGACGGCACTAGCGTGAGGCAGTGCGCGGTACTTCCTGTGCTCACGCCGAGGCCCTTCGCGTAGCCCGCGGCAGCGAGTTGCTGCTGCACATTAATAACCGCGCATATTTCCCCATACTGCTTATGACTAACAGGGAAGAACCTTTGGAACGGAAATGAAAGTTCGAGGGAGTGTAGGTGAGGCTGTATGAGCGCTCCTGCCGTTGTGCGCTGGACCGATATTTCCCCGGAGATCTTTGTCTAATCTGGGTCACCGTGTTCGTTATGCCAACATACACTTCATATAATTAGCTGTACGTTTCTTCCACGGAAGCTTCTCGGTTGTCAGCTCGTCCACACAGGACAATCAATTGGCAGCTCAACACTCTTGCTCACTCAGAGTGGCACACAGACAAGCTGAATCATGTCTGGCGGGCCGATGTTAACCACCTCTGCTTTCAGTCACATTCACCGAGGAACTGGGGCTTATTGGAGGAAGGCAGGCACAGAGCGATGAGAGACGAGGAGCAAGTTAAGAGAAGAGATGAGTGATGATGATACGGCACATGGTTTCAATCATGCCTCTTTTCTCTATCCCTCTTTCCCCCTTTTTTTAATCTGTCAGCATGTTTTTCTATTTGCTGCCTCGTTCATTTGTTCAGTCCTGTCGTCCTTGTCTTTTTTTCTTCCTTTCATCAAAGAACAGGAGTTGTCTGTCTGTTGTTTTTTTTTTTTTTCCGTTCGTCAAACTCTTGTTTTTGCCTGGGAGAGCTGGTTGCTTGTCTGGAGAGGGAGACTTTTTTCCTTTTTCTTTCTTTCTTTAATTTCGGCTTGTTGTCTGCAAGGGGGTGGCACAATTACTTTATTTCCCGAGGTCAGAATTTCTCCTAAAACTGCGTCCAGCGTTGTGTTAATGGGTGGGGCTCGGGGTGAAAGCGGAGGTGGATGTTTTCTCTTTCCTTTGTGGGTGGTTGGGTTGGGCTGAGCTTTGGTTAAAAGGTGATTTGGAACGGTGTGAAGTGTTCACATGTAAGTCACATTCTAGGATGAGTTTTGAATACCTTTTTATGGCTTGGATTACAGTGACCTTGTCTGTGTAGTGACATGTGAAAAACAATCTGCCGCCCGACATCCACTGGAACCAAACAGAGAGCTGAACACCTCAGAAGGAAGGAAAGATTTGGATTGAAAGGCTTTTTAGACTGGTTTCATGCTTTGATATTCACAAGCAGTATAAGGTGCCTCTCTGTCCACCTGCGTTTCCTTGAGAACTGACACAGGACTCCAGAGCGGTGCCTAAAAGATGAGCTGAGCCAGGCAGGCGGATGTCTGCTTCTCAGTGTTGTGCCTGTGACAAAAAGAACAGACAGCAACCTGAGACTCGCAGGCCTGTTTGTTTCCTGTTAGCGCAGATGATCACATTTCATTAGCCAGAGGTACTCGACTTAAGCGTCGTGGCAGATCCACATTCCAAGCAGCGAGATACTCCGCGTTTGTCTTCTCATTTGTTGCCGGTGAACATAAACCTGTCAGACTGGCGCACAGATATTGTCGGGTTATGCCCCGTGAATTATATAACATGCCGTTTGTTTAGATAGTTTTTATGTGCACGCGTCACACTTTTGACATAAAAAAGTGTGTGGCCCCTTTTTAAGCTTTGTAAACGGGTCTTATGCGATAGACACGTTCTCCACAGTCATAAATATACAAGTTCAGGCCTGTCACATTGCATTCTGGAGCAAATCCGTGTGGATTGAAATCTTCAAATGGCCCCCCCACCCCCCCACCCCCTACCTTCACCTGTTTGTTTTGCAAAAAAACACCTCAAGGTTGATGTAATTAAGTCCCCACACTCACTCTGTAACTCATCCGGTTAGGCCTAATTATGTATTGCAACACAGCACACTCTGTACTCTCCCAAAGAGAAAATACTGACTCCTCTACAGTGTTGAAACGTCCGGGTCCTGATTTTGATAAGCTCTCCTCTTTTCATATCAGATGAAATCACCTTGCTCGGATCGCTCAAAGAATTCCTGCCCCATGAGATCACCCATAACAACATCCCACTTGTTTCCTGTGATCCCACTCCATCTCTGAGCTGTGCCGTCATCCTCTCTGCATGTGCTTGCATACCGAGATGTCCTGCGTGATGTTGTTGCCACATCAGATAGTGTATTGCTCCCCAGCAGAGTTTCTGTTTGGCACCCAAACAACAGAGAAGCATTGGTGCTGCGGGGCAACCAGGTCAGCTGCACAGGGTGAGGGCTTTGTCAAGAAAAGCAGGAATTCTTCCGGCTGGAAGATGAAGTCAGTGCATTCCATCAAAGCTCCTCTCAATAGGCAGCTAGTGGAGCAAATCCGTGCTCTGAAAGAGAGGGAAGATAATGGCGGAGCTCCGAGTGAAACAGAGAGACAGACAAAAAAAAAGAGAACACCATCTGTCTGACTGGATGAGGACTTGTCTTTTAGTCACCTGGGCCACAGGATTTCATTTACCGCGCCAACTTCGACAGATCTCTCTACAGCTGCCTGCAGCGTTTCACCTACTTCTGCACGCTACACTGATTTTCTTACCTTGTTATGAAGTTTAGCCCTAAAAGTACACACAGAGGCGTGAGGCAGGAATAATGATTTCTCTTCTGGCTGAACCTTCCGCTCAGCTCTCTGAAGTTAGATGGGGACAGTTCTGCTCCTTCTGAGGTCGGTCAAGCTGAACACACACACACGCCCTCTCCCACTATTTCTGTGTTTCTGCTCCCACAAACACAGACTCTCTCGAGTCTCTCTGCCTTCCCTGTCGGTTCCCCTTGGCAATAAGCTATCATAACTGCTTTGAAGGTGGGCAGCCGAGTGTTTAATTGGGTTACAGATTGGGATTTACGCTCACAGGTCTACAAGATACTGCTGGACTCTTACATACTCACTTGGTACTTAAAAAAAAAAAGGTTAAAACCGGTTGGCTGCTGGTCAACTCGTCAGACGCTCTCACTGACCTTGTCACAAATTGTGTTTTTTTATATGTGCGGTTGCCTCAGAAGGTTTTTTTTATTTCCTCAAAGGTCCTCGAACAATCAGGATGTAACAGCTGGATTAGTCCGTCCCATTAACTCTCCTTTTATCTGTCCTCTTTTCCTCAGAGGGTCATGCAGAGGTAAGCTGTGCGGAGCCCAGCCGATCTGTTAGAAGGACCACCTTACCTCTCACCTTGTCCAGCCTGGTCCCAGATGGAGCTCAAAGTGTGGGTGGATGGAGTGGTGCGGGTGGTGTGCGGCCTGTCTGAGGAAACGTCCTGCCAGGACGTCGTTATTGCTCTGGCGCAGGCCATTGGTAAGAATTCCAGTCTTTGAAAGCTTTTTTTTATGCTCAGCTGACAGCTGCCATTACAGTGCAGATGTTTTCCCTCTGTATAGAAGTTTATTTGGAAGCCATGACTGGCTGAAACGTGCGTGCTAATACATTCCAAAAGGTGCTTTCAGAGACCTTATCTTTAACCAACATTTCACTCTCCACTGACCTACATCGAGTCATGTGCTATATAGTCCGTGGGTCAGCCTGGATTTCAGCTGGCTCTTCATCCTTGTATCCTCCGGCTTCATTCAAGCCACACCGCAGCAGCTTTGAACAACATAACTCCAGATTTAGCACTCTCCTCCTTCCATGAGTGAGCTGCCTGCCAAGTCATTAGGGAGGGTTTGTCCTAATTTCGAAGTCCTTGTGGAAACTTGAGTTTATCTGAATGCTTTCACTTGTTGTGTGAGCCTAACATAGCTACCTTTTCTTCCCCTCCTCCGTCTTGGAGGAGTCAGCTTCATGATAATACTTCTGATGGAATTTAAAGTCTGGCAAGATCAGGGTTTGGATTCAAATCCATTTTAACAGTGACAAAGAAACAGGCTCTCGCACATTTCTCTGCGACAGAAGACTTAATAGAAAGAGAGAAATGAAGAGCCCTAATTTAATGTCGTGACACATTACGCTATGTATTTATTTGGACTTAGTTTTGTTTGTTTTTTTGTCGCAGGTCAAACAGGCCGGTATGTTCTTATCCAGCGCCTGAGGGACACGGAGAGGCAGCTGCTGGCCACCGAGCGGCCCCTGGAATCTCTGGCAAAGCTAGGCCAGCACGGCACCGAGGTTCAGTTCTTCCTGCGCCGCACCGGCCCCAGCAACAGTGACGGGCCCGGCTCCAAACAAGACCGGCCCGCTCCCGTCCCGCTGCCCAAGCACCCGGAGCCAGAGACTCTGAAACGCAACCAGCCCAAGAAAGCCCTGACCTTTAACCTGGGGCCGTCCACCTCCCCCAAAGCTAAGCCCAAGCAGTTTAAGAGGTCACCTCGGGACTCCCCAGAGCAAAGGGCGTCCCCGTCCCCTTCACCCAGCCCCGTCTCCCCTCATGTGCCATGCCCTTCTCCCTCTCCACCTGTAGGCACCTCCAAAGAGGAGGTTTTTAGAAAAGTTCTTCAGCAACAGGAGAGACTGAGAGCCATTGAAGCCCAGCTGGGCTTAGAGAGGGAGTCCCACCCTTGGGAGCGTCCCTCCCCATCTCCATGTCCCTCGCCGGTGGCCGACGCTCGTCTGCAAGAAGAGATGGACGTGTTGGAGCAGCTGATGCGCAGGAACCAGGCCGAACTCGCTCACGAGCAGTACTGGGAGGAAGAGCTTCAAACAGAGGTGGAGAGAGAGCGGGGCATGAGGAGGAAGCTGGGGGAGCTCCACTCCAAGCTGGACGACTGCGGACGTCGGCTCCACGAGTTCTCGGTTCGCTCCGCTCAGCTGGAGCAAGAGATCCAGCGGGAGAGCCAGGCAGAGATCAAGGCCAGTATGCCCGAGGAGTCGCTCGACGCCGTGAAAGCGGAGCTGTGGAACCAGGAGAGGCACGGCACAGAGCTGAAGGAGCAGCTATCCGAGACCGATAAGGCCCTGGGGAAGGCAGAATCTATGCTGCAGGTAAGGAGAGAGGTCACGGTTCTGGCAACAACAAAAAAAGGGCCGTAAATCCACATCAGTCCCCGAAGTGTCATTTGAGGGATGCAGACTAGAAGCTCTTTTTTCATTACTGTAAACCCACTTCCCCTCCTGCCTGCATAATGCAGCAGACAAACAACATTGCAGAGACGCTCAACAGTAGAAAGATGAATTCCGGCTGAAATGAAATTCATTGTCATTGGACATGAATACTGCATAGTCATATCCCAACACGCAGGGAAATGTTTTATTTATAGAGTCGCTAAACCAGTTTGGCAGGTGTCATCTTTGCATTTTCTGAATACATGGTTTTTAATGGAGTTTACTGTACTGTATAACGAAAGCTCACCTTCTGAATTTCCCCACCCTCAGCACGCTGTAGTTTATGGTGATTCTTTTTTTCCATTTTCAGTGCTCGTGGGTGTCTCAATAAAAGCCCAACCCAGTTTAAAGTGTAACGCAAGCTTCATTATAACCCACACGAAACCCAGGACTTTGGTGTGCTTTTCATAGTCTTAGTTTCAGCCAGAGGACTAATGGAAATTCACTTCCACCTCCGTGTAACGATGGCAGAAGGCGGAATTATAAGGTCTAATGTTTAGTCTCAATTAAAAGTGGCTGGAAAAGTGATTAAACCTTAATTATAAGCTTATCTGCTCCTCAGTCACTCAGCCTTGCTGGGACATATCGAAATGTAACGGTGAAGTCGACAGGCTTACTGCTCAGTGGATGGGACAGACAGAAATTCAGTCCGATACCTGCGGGCGATCTGCGGAGGAGCAGATGTGTGAGGTTTTTGGTTTCACACGCCAGCGCGATACATGTCCCGCCAGCAGGGAGGAACCCGGCATCGCCCAGCCGGCCGGACAGTCGTAGCACGGATTACCGAGGAAAAAGGGGAACGGTGGCGGCCTGGCGGAGCGCGATGGAGCTCATTTGGCAGAGAATGGAAAAGGGGTTAACGTCAGTCATCAGTCAGCCGACCGGCCGAGTGTGTAAAGTGTGTGAGCTGATGAGCACAGCGCTGCTGTCATCAGGGTAATGGAGGGCAGACCTGCAGGTGTGAGCTGCCTCAGCAGGCTTCCTCCGTCCATCAGCAGTTACCCACACACACACACACACACACCGGCTGCTGCTTATTTCTGTCCTGTGTGCAAACACATTGATCAAGCTCAAATGGACAGTCGATGGGGACAGGTCGATTGGCGCTGAGAGTTGCGGCCTGGAGCCCGACTGTTTCACACCAACTTCCCGTCTTCTGGAACCGCGGCTGCCGAGCGCGTTGGCGTTCACCTGCTGTAGAACTCCGAGAATATCAAAATCGTTCTCCTTGGCTGTTTCCCTGCCCGTTCAGACCGGTCCAATTCTCACACGGTTGACCATTTTCTCCGCCAGTGATTCGACGCTAGCCCCGTTGACTGTGCCGCCATCTTGTGGTTGATGTGAGAAACAGCTCGCCGTCATGGGAACACACAGAGTACACACACATACCCCGTCTCATCTCCTTCCACTGCCAGGGAAACCTGGTGTCAGTCATCAGTGAGTCACCGATGATGGCGTCTGGCTTTCAATTGTTCTTTGTTCTCATCTGTCTTTTTTTTTTCCAGGCGAAACAGGAGGAGCTGGAGGAGCTGAATAAGGAGCTGAGGCAGTGTAACCTGCAGCAGTTTATCCAGCAGGCGGGCGTCCTGCCGGCGCACAGCCACTCGCGCACCGAGCTGCAGGAGCAGCTGGAGCAGCTGGAACTGGCCGAGTTCCTGCAGGAGGGCTACAGGAATGGTAGCGCGGGCTCCGGGGATCTGGCCAGCCGCTATCAGAGAGCCAAGGAGGGTCCGCTGAAGTTGTGTTTCTGTCCGACAGGCCGCAGCCAAACCCCCGTGGAGTCTCCGCCTCGTCCCACCGCCAAACAGTTCCTCGGACATCCCCGAAACCTCCAAAACCCTCTAGTGTCCAGTCTCAACCCCGAGGGTGTGTATGTGTGAGACCCCGCTGCTTCCCGCACCCCCCGCCCTGTCCAGCCCCTGGTCTCAGAGCCCCTGACCTTATAACTTCCACCCCAGCTCGACTGGGTTCGAGGCTTCAGCTGTCGATGGCGTTGGGTAGCGAAAGCATCTGTATGGTGGCGGGCTCTGCAACTTCCCGACTTTAAAAGGCTGAAAGACTTTATTTTTTTCCACGTAAAGCTCTCTTTCCTCTCCAGATAACTATCCCTTGCTTTTGACAGCTGCAACCCTCCTCATCATCTCAGTATTTTCTGTTTAATTATTTGGGATTTTCTTTTCCTCTCTTGTTCCTTCTCCTGCCCGTCCTCTTCCTCCTCCTGCCCTCCCGCTGTTTGCTACTGGACTAATTGTAGCTGCTTTTCTTTCTGTAATGCATCTTAGAATTTGCTGCTAATCCCACCTTCTAATTCAGAGTGGCTTCCTCAGCCTCAAGTCAATAATCAAACTATCAACAACTGCTCTTCTCTATATTTTGGTGTAACACATCAGTCTCCCTGGGAATACTTTGGTTGACATTCTGATTGTGCGTGTGTGTTTCCTTTACTGTGATGTAGAACAAAATGGGACTGATGGCCTTTCATGTGGGGGTACAGTTTTTTTTCTGTGAGGGCATGTATCTGTACAACGCCTTGTACTTTGGTGATGCTTGGATTCCAAAGAGCAAGAGCCTTGCACGCGGGGCTCTGCAAAACGTGTTGCACTGTCCCATCCCCCTGTGTGGAGACTCGGTCCCTGTGCGCCTACAGAGAAATGTATCTGTCTGCCCTCTTTTTTCCCTGATTGAAGACTTATTTTTGGGAGAGTCTATTTTTTACAAAAGTCCTTGTTAAAAGAGATACATTTCACATGTAGAGCCACAGGCGGCTGTTTTTTTTGTTTTCTTTTATACCCATCTTTACATCCCCTGGGATGGATATGTAATCCTATCTGTTTCTTTCATCACACTTGATATTTGGCCTGTCACAGCTTACATGGAGCCTCATTGTAGTCTCGACTTTGATAAGCTCACTCACCTGAGTCCTAGCAAGTGAGCAATTTCCATCACTATTATCTGAAATTGACTATTTTAATCAATATATACTCAGTCAATGCACTTATTTCATCAGACTACATCTCCATACAACGCTGTCAGGTTAAAATGGTGTGTCTGTGTGTGCAGCTTCCAATCCATTTGTGCTGTTTTCTTTGAGAAGATACACAAATGTGTGTTGTTTTTTTAAACAGGGGACATCCCAGTGCTTGTAATAAGGACTGATACTATTCAGTCCCAGTCCACAAACTGTCGGTGACTGGTCTTCCGTCAGCCTGCATTTCCCCAAAGTGCGTGTGAATATCTTGCTTCATCCACGTCTCTCGTAGTTGTTTTTTGGCTGAAAAGTGTTTTCCCCAAACAAAGGGATCATCATCCCCACTTATTTTTGTGTGTCTTGCAGTCCTGACATCCCGAGAGTCGTCATGGAGATAAAACATGGACCGCAGGGCCAAGGGACAGTTGTTCTGTTGTCATCGTCACCTCTTATTTAACCCTTTCTTTCTAACACTTCCATTTATCATTCAAGTCACGATGAGTACACTGTATATGAATAAGAAAAATATATTTACAGATTTTTGCTACTGTACACACTTTAAAAGAGTTGTCTGAAATGTTAATAATTTAGGGACCTTTGGACTGACAAATGATTACAATGTATTTAAATATAATAAAATGTGTATTGTGTTTTAGTTAATACTTGGTGAGTGGTTATTCTTTATCCATCCATCCATCCATTATCGTTACCGCTTATTCCATAATGTGGTCCCGGGGAGAACTGGAGTCCATTGCAGGGCCTGATTATTCTTTAATCTCTTTAAATTAAATCTGTTTTTAAATTTTTTTTAATTTCAGCACCGTTTAATATGAAAGTATGAGTGAAAACGTGCATCACTGAAAAAAGCTGGCCGTAAATAACAACTCACAACTGTAAAATACAGTGCCGTGTTCTCGTTGCCACAGGAGGATTTCTGGGCATTTTAAATTTGCTCTTCACAGGTGGCCGGGTGGAAGTCCATAAAATGCGCTCATGGATGCGGAGGTAAACATCCTGTCATCACAGCCGCTGCTGGTGTAAGGATCCACCGTAGACCCTCTACAGAAGCACAGATAGAGGCAGACGTACACAGCGGATTTGAAAGCTTTTGACACGGCTGGCCGATAACGAGTTCACCCTGTCGCACTTCCTATAATGCTCGTGCTGTCAGGATACTGATCCAGCTTTATTTCCTATATCACCAGAGGACATCTGATGACAGAACAAAGTATGAGACCAAGCTGTTTTGTAAGTCTCTTTTAAGATACCCAAAACCCAAAGGGAGCCAATGTGTTGCTACAGATGGCCTTCAGTGATCATACATCAGCACGGAGAAGGATAAAGACACAATCCCTTAGTTGCTGCTCAACATTTTAGTCCCCCACCCCTTTCCTGTTTGTTTACCCTGGAGAGTAAATATGCTGCCTCTCACACACTGAGTGATGTGAGCCTCCCCAGTGCTCTGGCTGACCCCAGACTGATACCCTTTAGGCTTCTAAAAATACTGTACTGGCACTCGGCAGGTGAAACTCCAAGCAAAGCACATATTTCTTTCTTTTCCATTGAAATAGGTGCAAAGAGAACAGTGCCGCCAGACATCGTTTAAATCAGTCCTATCGGCTTCAACACGTCAGCATTGTCAACTTCTGACAATAGGCTGGAATTAAGAGCTACATTACAATGCCAGATTTGGTTTGACAATGATTGATTATGCTGAATTGGATTATACTGAGAAGATTTAGATCTGTCTGGCTTTGCAGGGGTTAGCTAAGCTTCAAATCCGTGTTTTGTTCCCACTGGCTGGACAAGCTCTGATGGGTTCTGTTGCCTACCAGTGGACATGGGAAACACTGCAAACGCACTGCTATAATAAAAGAAACTCAGACCCTCTGTATTCTTCCTCCTTGTTTTATTTGCATGGATGATATTTAGTCAGCCAAATCATGTGATTCCTTATGATCTCAATAAAAAAAAAATAATTCCTGAGAGACATTTACACCAATTGTGCCGACTTCAGATAACCGGACGTGCGATGCTGTCGTGGTTTTTCCACATATTCTACGAGCAGAACGGAGCACATGTAACGTTCATATCTAAACTCAAATAGTTCCCTTCTTGCGGGACATTAACAGATTAGAATGTCTTGAGGGTGTTATTGTGATCACACAACAGCACTCCACATTAACTCAGCTGAAATCTGCCTTTCAGGTGCATGTAAAGCGGAACAACTGACCAGTGCTGCAGCATAGCTGATAAATATGTACGTCTAACAGGGACTGTGTGTCTTGGAAAGTATTCATGTGCTGTGGATGAGTGAGCATTTGCACGTCCCACATTTTGATGATGACCAGGATGACTAGGACCGCAAGTTAATGTGTCTGACATGCTCTCCACTTATGTTCCTCTGTGTCACAAAGATTCTTTTAGCTCACATGATGTTAAACATGGGTGTGCTGAACGGACGCGGTTTACATAATTCTATGGAAAGCATTATAGATGATGCCACTACTGATTTGGTTAGAGACTTTACTTTTTACTGTTTATACTTTCAAACATTACATAAAGTGTATTTTTCTTTACCGATAAGATCAGGTTTGTGATAATACGGGAGTTGTCAACTAACTACACATAATTTCATGAAAATGATAAGAAGCATAACCATATTTTTAATGTCTGTACATCGTGTCCAAGAATACAAACTTATTGGCTTTAAGTAACGCTCATTTTTATGGTGGGCCTCTGGGAACCTCCTGAAGAACCAGTGAAGTTCGAGCGAACTGAGCAGGAACTTCAGCTGAAACAGAACCTCTGAAACAGAAACTGAAACAAAACTCACCATCAGTCTCAACTGATGCCATATGGTGCTGCAGCTCCTTTTGGAGCCACAGGTCCTAAATAAGGCAAATGAGCATAGTAGGAGGGTGGCTTCAGTACAGCTGGAGACCACTGGGAGGGCAGTCATGTAGAGCAGGCCTTTCCCAGCAGCTGTACAGGACATTATCAAGATCTGCTTGGAGATAGTTGTCTGTATGGTCCTGCTGTGGCTGGTCTGAGACGAACCGCAGTGAGAGGCATGTCCAAAACCAGGTTAGCCGCTGTCACACGCACAGTGGAACTGGAAACTGACACAATGTGCGTTAGTCAGTGGCTTACCTGCTTTTAGATCTCAGGCATCGGTCTGTGAATGACAAACAAAAGGCTGGGTCATTAGGATGTACCCAATCAATCTGTGATTTCAAAGAAAATGACACCATATAAAAATTAATATGATAAAGAAAATGTGAAAAAATAATAATTATATTCTTCCAGCACTGTAACAGACACCTGTATGAAATTACATCTTACTTCCTGTGAATTCCTGTGTATGGGATTAGGACAATCACCGATGTAATTGTGTAATGGTGAATATGACATGAAGAAAAAGTTCCCAGAATAAAAAATAATTACATAATCCCATTTGACAACTTCAGATAAATTGAAATGAAAATAAACCGAGATGGTGGACGAGGTCTTTTTTTTATTTTTTTTATTGCAGTACGCATATTAAAGAATAGTGACAAATAAAGGAAGCTACTTACCGGTCCCAAGTTTCCTTAGGAATATTTCTCTTTACTAAGAAATATCTTTCATTCTCTCTAAAAGGTCCCTCTCTATCAATATATTCAAAACCAATTTTTTTCTTCTAAAATCTGGGGAGATTTTAAAGTTAGGTGCATTTAGGAATATAATGTTCCCTACAACACCGAAGAGAAGAGAAGTTCAGTTCACTTGCACTGCCCCAACCCTGCCCACTCCCCTGCATCTGCAACCCGACCTGTTTATGCAAATTACGCAGAAATTGGCATCCACTTCAGCCTATCCTCTGCCGCGTTTCCATAACAAGTCCCGCCCATCGGGGGGAGTTGACGTATGCAAAGCTCTGGGAGGCGGGATGTTCACGAACAGCATGTTTTCTCGGTTTGCAGAGTTGTAGTTGGGGTGCGGTGCGTTCAGTTCTGCACGTCGTACATCAGGGTTGAACCATTACCCTGTTATCAATTTCCTTCCCTGTGTGAACATTTTCCATTCAAATATTTTTCAAACTATTTTTTACGCTCACCAACTCGACAAATTTTGACAACCAACACTAAGGATGTTTTAAATGACCGTAACGAAGTCATCACTCTGGGCACGTCGACCCCTGCAGTGTGAAGTGGTTGAACTCGGCTTACTTGTGTACAGTGTTGCCATGAGCTGAGTGTGGCTGTGCACGTACCAAGGATGCTGCATGACAGTCTGATCTGATGATGACGACGAGGAGGAGGAGAAACACTCAATTATTTACGGAGTCAGAGTTCAGGACTTCCTGACATCATTGCCAAGTTGTGTAACATCGTATCAATTTAGAAACTTAAACTGTGAATGGATTGTTGCTCCCCACATTAGAAAAAGGGGAAAAAGGTCAACAAGAATGCCTTTTAAATGTGTCAATATAATCTGTCCCTCATAATGATGAATGTAAAGATATAATAAAACCACTATAATAAAATACCACTACTGACATAATTCATTTTAGATCTGCTCACAAATTATTTATGAACATAATTACACTATTTGGAAGAATTGTAATTGAAATAATTATTTCCATTCATTAAGTTAAAATGTATCTGATTATTTCTAACACCAATAATCAAATTTGATTCAGGCACTCTCCTCATCCTAGTTTCGTCGTCATTTTGAGCAGTTTTCTTCAATCAAACATATTCTGGAGTATTCAGTCCAGGAATCACATGGCTTTTTAATAGTCCGCGTTTTACTCGCTGTTACGTAAGAGCCAGTTTGTGATTTAGGATTGACCACCAGGGGACGACAGGTGCATGGAAAGCAAAGCATAGACCGTAGGACAATTCATTCATGCTTTACGATGTTTCGGTGTTCAATGCAAGGTGGTAACCTGATGTTGGGACCGATAAAATATGCTTTGTATATCAAACTGTTCAGGCAAAAATAAATTAAACACTGTTTTATTCAATATTTGATCTGTTGATGAATTGATAACTCTAAGTAATCCATACAATGTCATTTTGTTGAGATGTGGTTTAGATTTTGTTGTTATATTCCCATTCAATTTTCACAGTGATGGGCCGTCAGATTCATGTTTTAAAGATTCCAAATTAAAAAGATTTCAAGCTCTTTTATTTTGATGAAAATAAAATGTCATTTAAAAGAAGCTTCATGATATTATCTGCCGGAAATGGCAAGGCCGCATTTGCAAATAGCTGTATTGTTGATTTGCGTCCGTCTCACTTTTTTATTTCCCCAAAATCTAAAAGTTATCTGTTTAGATTATATCTATCTTAAATAAAACAATGTAATATGCATCTAGTAGATGTATACAACTGGCCACATAACTTTGTATGTCATGAGATATTCAATGGCACGACTTTGACAGTTGTACATGGTAAAATAGCAGGTTTTCTTTATATCTATCTATATATATTATACTGTATATAAGTTATATTTCTGATTTAAACCATTGACGCTTTGGGTGGACACTGTTTCTTTAAGAGTCACAACTGTCGAAGTGCATTCGGCCATTTCCGTCATTTGCCAGCCGGTGGTGTCACTCAACAACCGTGGACACTTGAAATCTCTCCAAACACGCCTTACACCTCTGAATTGGGTAGGTTCTGAGTTGGTCCAAAACACTTTAATGTCACGTTGAAGCTACACGGGCTTCATAGGGAATTTAAGCAAATGTACCGGCACCTTGAGCGTTTTCCTTCAGTTAAAACTAGCTTGCAGGTGACGTTAGCTAATTTTAGCTATAACGAGCGAGCTAGCGTGCTACTCTGAAGCTTTTTTTTTTTACTGTCCAATGTTATTTAAGCAGTTGTAGCAAGGTTACACAATTGCCACTTTATCTTACTCATAACATATGTCTTCAAAATTGATATCTGCATTCGTGCTGCATGCACATGCCTCACAAAAACTTGCAAAAGAACAGTTAGGTTCCGAGGTTTCCTCTTTGTTTACATCATATGTAGCTTTTTGCACAAGGAAGTTGTTGTTGGCTAGTTATTCAGCGTTTGGTAACATTTTCCTGTTTATGTGCAAGATAGAAAAAACAAACAATTAACCTACTTAATCAATTGATTTTGCAGTAATGTTTGTAAAAAAGAAATGTCAGTATGTTTTGAATCAGGTCCCAGTTGCAATACTTTCTCCTTCCCTTTGGCTAGAATATTCATAAAAAAGTATCATACATTTGGATAAGTAATAAGTGCATTGGTCTGAAAATGTAATAGCGCCCCTAAATCATTGGTGTTCATAATACATGGTTATCATTCCCCTAATATCGGGAGGAATGTAATATATAATACCAAATCATCTGTTCGAGCTGACTTGCTGGTATTTTTTAAATATGTTCCACCAGCATGATGGGTAAAATTGGATGTTTGCAAATACCGTTTTTTTTTTTTTTTTAAATATATTGAACGTTAAATGAACAGAAAATGACAGGAAACATTCTTATGGAAACAAGAAGGGTATCTTTTTTGCCCCTTATTTTAAACACTGTCAATTCTTTTGTGTCTCCGAAGTGTAATTTTAGGTAAATTCTTCAATTTCCCTGATGTTTTTCTGATGGTCAGCCATGGATGAAGATGACAGCCAAGATGAGCTGATCAACCCCAGTACGTCCCACAATAAGGGAAAAAGAGCTGCAGTGTGGGCCATTTCAGGTAGCTTAATGTGTGAAATGTTTCAGTTTCAATTTTAGTGTTTAAAAATAAAGATGTAATTAATTTGTCGGTTTTTTTTTTATCCTAGATGACTCGGATGACTTGGAGGCGGAGTCTAACGAAGGTGAATCTGATAGTGATGATGAAGATGAGGATGATCAAGGAAATGGGGAAGAGGAGGAAGAGTATGGTAAGAGTGACACACAAACCATAATTCTCCTTTAGTCATGAATGCAGTATCCACTGCAAGTGTTCTTTGAATAATACAGTAAATAATTTATTTCTTCCCACTTCTTTTAGATGAGGTGGAGGAGGAAGAGGAAGAGGAGGAGGACGAGGAGGATGCAGATCCTAAGCCTGAGGATGGAGCTTTTGGGGGAACATCTGCAGACGTAACGGGAATGAGCTCAGATGAGGACAGTGATAAATGTCCCATCTGCCTCAACTCATTCAGCAGCCAGCCTGTTGCTACACCAGAGAGCTGTGAGCACTACTTCTGTTTCGACTGCATCCTTGAATGGGCTAAGGTGGGTCTGACCGAGTAGCGTATAACCCCAGTGAAAAGAGCCTTTTGACAAAGAATGATATTCTGGTTTTCATAATTAGGACCATCTATGGCGAAGGATAATAAATAAGTCATGTATTGCTTATTGTTTCTTTCCTCCACATATAGAATGCAAACTCCTGTCCTGTAGACCGCATTGCCTTTAGCAGCATATACCTTAGGAAATGCTACGGAGGAAAAGTGAAGAAAATTGTAAGTTCAGCTTCTTTTACATAAGATGTCAAATATAATTAAAAAAACAAAATATGTTGCACCCAAAAAATTGTGTTGTGTCATTGTTGTACTGTATTTGCCCATTTCAGGTTACAGTTCAAAAGCCTGCGAAGGCAAGTCAAGAGGAAACTGTAGATTTGGACCTGGAGCAAACCAACTGTGAGGTGTGTGGGGGCAGCGACCGGGAGGATCGCCTCTTGCTCTGTGATGGTTGTGATGCAGGGTGAGATAGATATTGTTTTATCAAGTGTATTGCAGTTTTTCCCCTTTTGACTATCTTAAAGTTTATTTTGAATTAAGACTTTTTGCTCCTTAGGTATCACATGGAGTGCCTCACTCCTCCTCTTGATTCTGTTCCTGTGGAGGAATGGTTTTGTCCTGAGTGTGAGGCACATGGCCGCCATTCCAGTAAGTCTTTTTTGTTTGTTTTCTTTGGAAAATGAACAGTAACTACAAAGGTATATGACATGGGTTATTCAGTTGTTCAGGGATAGTTTGGAATCATGGCCTCATTTGGAGTAAATTTTTTTCTGTTTTGACTATCAAGCCATTTGCCCCAGTTCCTGAAGTTGGCGTTTCACTTGTTTTAGAACTTTCCTAAGTTGAACATGTCAAAGTATTTGTGCAAGATAATAAGTCCCATGTTACTCTCAATGTACTCGTGATGCATGATAGAGAAAGGTGTATGAATCTGATTGGTTTAACTGGGCTGTCCTATGATGCACTTTTCACAATTGAATAAGCTATGAGAAATGCAGTATAAATTCAGAGCACTGAACGTTTTTTTTTTTTCTGTTGTGTGTTTTGGTTTATGTGTTGAGTATGTGTTTGAATACGATTGTTTTTGAAGTGTCGTTTTGAAATATTGTTGGATGAAATTTTAGTTCTTATGTTCAGGTTTCTCTAAATGAGTTAGGATTTTTGAAAGACTTTGTATACAAAGGTAACGTGTATTTTCTGAATAACTCTAGACTGAGCACAGATAACTTTGTAAAATCAGACATTTAAATCTTCTTGTTTCAGGAGGTTCAGCTGAGGAACTCAGTGATGCCGATAGCCTTCCCTCTACTGCCCGTCCTGCCACCAGTCAATCCCGACCTCGTGCTGCAGGTCCTACAAGAGCTATTGCCCGCACCCAGCAGAGCGAGAGGGTTCGAGCCAATGTCAACCGTCATCGCATCACACAGGCACGCACATCCCAGGTTTGGCATGAGGCGTGGCGCTCTTGTCATGGCTACTTTCCTAACCTCTCAACAGCAAGTGTATGTGCAGTGTTGTATAGTGAAGTAAACAAATAAACTTTGCTGGTGTACAAACTGAGCTGACAGAGAGTATTAACAGCTTGAGCAGTTTGTGTGGATAATATTTACTGTTCAGCTGGTGATTGTGAGAGAGCACAGTCATGCATGAGTTTTCCTATCTTGACTGTTTGCAACTACAAAACAAGCAGCAGAATAATGCCACAATTTTCTATGTAGTTGGCACCAACATATCTGATGCAATCAACTTGGCTGGATGAAACCATAAATGCTGTAGTGGCAGGACTCAACACAGCTGTCTATGTACGGGACCTCACACCTCGTGCCCACATCTCATCCAGACGCAGGAGTGGTAAGGACACATGCCTAATTGTCTTTTCAATTAGTACCTACTGCGGTTCAGCTTGACCCTACTTGGTTTATTTTTTTGTATGTCAGTTCAATGTTGCTGCCTCTTAACTGTTCAGATTTTAGCACCTACACAGCTGGTGTTCTAAGTAAGCTGAGTTTAGCTGGCAAACAAACTGAGTACCTCATGAGAATCTTACTCATTTTAAAAACGCAGCTACAACAAATGTGTAATTTAATAATTTTTCTGTCATCATTTACATTGTAAATACCAAATGCTCAAACCAAAACCACATTGCGCTGTCGCAATGCCCTTCATTGTTGTCTCATGTTTGTGTTGCATCTAAATGACCCCATGAATAACAGATTCCAAAACATTGTTAGCATTTCAATGATAAATGAACATATGATCAAGTGTAGAAGATGAACAAAAGCGTTCTTCAAGGCTTTAACTTGTTTCTGATAATGGTTTTTATTATTGATTATGCAGGAAAGCGCAGAAAGGTGAAAAGAAAGAAGACATCTGCTGCAAAGGGTAAAAATGGGCGAATGGCTAGCACGGGAGTTAGGAGGAAACGAAGAGTAAGGAGGACTAAATCCAGAAAAAAGCTCGTAAGTTAACCAACATCAGTATTGAAACCTTAATAGTACTGATGTATATGTTTTGTTATTTTTGCATTGTAATGCATTTGCATTGTGTTGTTCACAAAATATTAAAAGCATAGAACTTATGAGTGCTCACAGTTTCAGTTTTACATGGCTGACAGGGCAACATGTGTCTTAATTTAGAGCAGTTTTATAGATCAAAGCAGTTTTTTTACAAAGCTGGCTTTTATTCACAATATTGGCCAGGAACAGATGATACTTTGGCTTTCTTATTATTCTAGTACAAATTTTGAATCTTATTCCACATGAATGCGACTGAAGTCAGCTTTTTTCTTTGTCAGTCTCACTTGGTAAAAAGAACATTTAAAACCCAAATGCAGCCAATCCCATGGAGCACAGATGGGTGGTGGCTGCAGAAGTAAATGTTTCTTGTTCATTTTCAGTCAGCCGATCAGACAACTGCATTTGACTTTTCATTAGGACAGGATATTTAGTTTCCCTTTGTGCTGCTGGACACAAAGTTTAGTTACCAGGAACATTTATTAAAACAATTTTAACATTTCACCATATACATCCTAAATCTTAATTAGACCAATAAACAGATTATGTCTGACATATTTCTTGTTAAGGGACTTATCACCTATGTTTTGTTATAGTGGGAGAAAAAGACTGCAACTCCTAGGAGCCGCATTGCTAATAATCTTGGCATTGTGAAGAACAAGAAGAGCTCTTCACTTCCTACAGTATACAGGCCGTCCGAGCACACGTTAAGCAACATGCGTGCTGACATAGGTGCGGCATCTCTCTCTATCTATGGAGATCCATTTGACCTGGATCCATTTGTGGAACGGTAAGGAGGCTTCCTCTTCTCTGTGTCTGTGTTCATTTGTTGTGTTAAAATACCCGATGCCTTATTTGTGCTATTTGTTGATTTGCCCAAAATGATTTGCAAATGTAGATTTCATCAGCCTTCTCATTAATTAATCAGTAATCAAATCCATGAGCTTGATGCAGAATGGGATCATTTACACCTGCACAAGTTTCAGGACAGTATTTGCATGTTAGTGAAAATATTAGCATTAAGCATTATGTAAATATAATTCTATATACGGTACTTATTTGAACAGAGAGGAGGAGGAACAGCAGGCCCGCGTTACATCCCTGTTGGAGGCCAGGAGGCGAGGGATCTCTCACTCTGCTCTTCGCTCTCACCAGCCCGTGGCTCGACCGGTCACCGCAAGCCTGTCCAGGTAACCAATCCTTCAGTCTGTGGATTATTAGCAACATATCTAAAATGAAGATTTTTCATATTCTTGATTTGAATTGTATTTTTTTTGTATACTTAATCAGTTTCTTATTTATTTAGCTTCTTAACATTTGTATTACAGACTGAATAGAGTAGATATTTAGCTATGTATTTTTTGGGCGATAATGCTACATTGCAGATCAGTGATGAGCAGTAGAGGGGACAGATTGTCACATACACATTATGTTAATTGTATTTATTCTCATACATTGGTTGTTGATTGTTTCTTTCCCAAAAGGTGGTAAAAGTTCTGAAACGAAGTAGGAGCTGGCTGACTCAAAGTGCTGCATAAAGCTTTAGATTAGTTTATATTCCATGAAATTTCACAAACAGACGTGAACAAAATCACATTTTTGAAAAACAAAATAAAATGAAAGATGGAAAAAAATAGTCAGCCTCATTAGTTATCATGTACTTAAGAGAGTCCACTAAATGTTTTACAGGAGGGGTGTCAATGTCCAACAGCCAGGAGCTGTTGTGGAGGCAACTCCAGTCCCTGATCTGCTGGGCAGCATCCTGTCAGGACAGAGCATGCTGTTGATGGACAGCTCTGATGTTGTCATAAGTCGAGATGGTTCTCTGAAAGCTACTAAGCCACGTAAGTGTATGGGACACATTTTTAGGGTAATCTTTGCTTATTACTTGAATTGACAGAATGTGTGTTTTGTAGAAATAACTTTGTACTGTCTTTCAATTCATGTTTCATTTTATGTTTCCTCTTTTATATAAAAGTATATTTGCAAAACAAAGATTTCAATTCTTCAGGTAAATTGTGCAGTATCTAATTGCAAATAATTGATAATCAATTTTCAAACATGGGAGTTGTTGATAGTATATGTCATAATGGATTTATCAATATGTCAACATCTTAGAAATGATACAATAAGGAATGTAGTTACTGTTATCAAAATTAGTGCCTTACAAGTCTTCTGTCTTTGTGTTTTTTTTCTTCTAATATTTGGTTACAGTGACACCATCTCCATCACTACCATGTAACAGGAGTAATGATAGCTCAGGCGATGCCAGTGCCCTCATCAACCCAGAGATTTCACCAAACGTAGGAGACAGCTACATTGGAGATTTACCAGGGTCGTCTAACAGCCCTGTGAACAGACATTTGACCCCGGATTCATCTCATTTATCCTCCTTCACGCCCTTCTTATCAAACCAGACACAACCAACTCCCCATCCTGATGTACCACAAAGAAGGAATCCTAGTTTTCAGTCCTGTCGGCCAAACAGATCAACCCCTCCTCCTTGTCGCTTGGGGATCAATGAATTAGGGGCCCCAAGGGCGGCCACTTTCTCATCTGTTGAGTCTAACCTCAAAAGCAAAGACATGGCTTCATCACAGTTTCACAAGCCCATGTGGGTAGATGTGTCAGTGCTTCCAAGAATACCCAAAATAAAAAGGGAGACCAGCAATGCCACAAATAACAGTCCTAATCAAGGTGGCAGTTGTAGTAGTAGTAGAAGTAGTAGCAGTAGTAGTGGTAGGGGAAGTGAATGTACCTCTACCAGTAGTAATGGCTACGGCATGCCTGACATGAACAGCTTCTCTGGGGACAAAGGACGGCAGCAAAGTGTCGACCAGCAAAAGGGCCAAGGTGGCGGTCAGGCCCAGAGACACCGGTCTGATGGAGCAAGCTCATCATCAGCTTTCTCCAGCTCTTCTTCTTCCTCCTCCTCTGGCAATTCCGCGAGCCAGCCAAGGTATACCTCATCTTCTTCATCTTCATCAGCTGTGAGTTTTCGCATTAATTCTAGTGGGAACTCCTGGCAAGCTCGGCGACTAAACATGGCATCGTCTTCAGTGAGTGGAAGCTTCATGCAGGAACAAGGGAGAAAAAAGGAAGATGAAGCAAAAAAGAAACAGTTGCACAAAGATAAACAAATGCTGCTGGCATCACGTAGTAAAGAGCAAGACAGTGATAATATATATGATCCCTTTAATCCCACTCTGTCTGATTCAAGCAGCTCAGGTGATGAAGCTGACAGCATAAACCTGAATAGCAGCCCTCAGCGAGTCACACATGAGCAAAAGACTTCTCCATTTGGGAACAAGGGGGGCTCAGCAGTAAGCAGGTGGGATCTGGTGCCAGTGAAAACTGAATCACAGGAAGTTAAAGTTTCACAGGAAGAGCCGGGAAGTTCTCAGAATACCACAGAGATGAAACTCTCAGGGGATCGTATCAAAGTTGAACAAGTATCAAAATTAGCTGATGTGAAGGATGAGACGCAGTCATCCCTTGACATTAAAGTTAAAAGAGAACCAAAAATCGAGGACACAGAGGAATCTCAAAGTTGTGGTGGGAGCATTGGAAGTTACTCTAATTCAGAGAGAGCAAACAGTACACCACCCGCTCATCACAGCTTAGATCAGTTAAAAGCTGAGAAAGAAGCACAACCAGATGATGATGGACAATATGCTGGAGTGTCCCATAGATCTCAGCTTAATCACAGGGATAATGCGTCAACATCCAGGTCTGCTGCCTCCAAGAAAAAGCCAAGGGATTCCACCTCCTCTTCCAGATTTCCATCAAGAGACTCGGACTTCAAGAGGCAAACTTCCAAAGCTTCAAATGAGCAACAGTGTAGTAGTTCTGACACAGACATTATCAGAAGAGAACATCATCATGCATCAGGTCTGGAAAGTAAAAAAAAGGAAAGGGACAAAGACAAAGACAGGACAACATCAGACAGCTCTCAGCCCAAATCTCCTGATAGGGCTCAGAGGAATGGAGGAAGACGGCGTTCCCAGTCCCGATCCAGAGATGAGACTAGGAAGAGACGATCTAGGTACATTTAAAGATTTTTCTGGAAAATCCTTTGGATGCTGCTAAATATTCAGTGACCATGTGCTTGGTTATTCAGAAACGTTAAAGCTGACCTGTTGATCGGTTAAGGGTTTTGTCTGTCTTTGTGTGCCTTTTAGGTCTCGTTCCAGCTCTAGCAGCAGAGAGCGATCAAGGAGGAAAAAACAAAGGAGCAACGAGAGAAATGATCGCAAAGGAAAAGACCATGAGGGAAGGCGAGCGTCAAAAGAGGAAAGACGGGGTCGGTCCCGCTCAAGGTCAAAGTCACGCTCTCGGTCCCCATCTAGATCCAAGAACAACAAACCTGCTACAGCTCGCTCAGAATCTACGTCTGGATCCAGAGAAAGGAGGAAGGATACCAAAATGGAACATTCTTCTCTCCCTTCCAGAAATAAGGTAAAATCACACATTAAAGACCAGAACAGAAGGAGGTCTAGATCCAGCTCAAGAGAGAAAAGGAAAGAAGGGCGATCGTCCAGGGCTGCACAGAAAACTTCAGGCGTTTCATCTTCCATGAATCAGTCACAGGAGCAGAAAAAAGAAAAACTTCCGTCTCGAAAAAACATCAAAGAGGAAAAATGTGTGGGAAAAGTTATTAAAAAGGAATTTCCATCACAAACCTGTACCCCTCAAATCAAAAAGGAAGAAGGTAACTGCCAAGCAGAGAGCCAGGCCACAACTCCTGAAACTACAAACGACATAAAGAATTTCAAAGAAGTCAAGGAAGAAAAACAACTATCTTTGGATATGAAAGGTTCTCCCATTAGTAAACCAATTAAGACTGAAGAAAAGCCCTCATTTAACTTGGAATTAAGTAAGAATATTGAAGCAAAGGAAAAGCCCATTAAAACAAACACTTTTGAAATGGCCGTGATTAAATCTGAACCACTGTCTAGTCTCATTACGCCTGTGTCAGCAGACAGCCACCGGGACACTCCATCCCCACCTCAGGCAGTGTCAGTGGACTCAGCCGAGCTGCCTGTTCCTGTAAAACAGGAGTCTTTAGACTCGGATGAAGACTTCAATGTTGATGTCATGCTGGACAACCTGGAGTATGCCAAATCTCAGCATACAGAGGGGAGAGGCACAACTGTCAAACAAGAGAAGGAACAAGTGGAAGGGAAAGAAGGCGGCGAACAGGCAACCGCTGCAACAGGAGCTAAGTCCAAAACACAGGTTAAGCGGGTTACGTGGAACATTCAGGAACCAGAGGGGCCGAAGTCAGTGAAGATCGCAGGCAGTGAGTGTTCTCAACGGACATCACAGGATTTTTTTTTATCTGACTGACAACTAAATCTTTTCTCTTTCCATACGCAGAGCTGGCCCTCTATAAACTGAAGCTGAAGCAGGAGGGAGCTCGCAGGCCTGCTTTTCCAGTCCAAACATCCAGTCAGGTGTGAATGAGTCGGAGCATCACCATTCAGTTTTTTTCTGTGTTTAAAATGGGTGTTCTGTGTCAGTATCCTGGTGTTACCAGAAGGGGGAAGTCTCTACACAGAAAAAGCAAACGAACTGCCTGACACGTGATGGATACTTAAGTATTTTCAGATGAAACGAAAGTAGAACCGTGTTTGATTTACAGGCACAAATCAATGTTGAAATGAGAAGCACAATGTTATGGAACCAAAGCTTTTTATCGTATTGTTTGGTTGCACTTTATATTTAGGAACATCACGTTTATGGATAAACCTTACAGATAAGATATCCTGAAACATCAATTATCTTGCAATGACTACCAGCAATATTTTTGATGTCATGAAAAAATATGATAACATCTTCTTTGATTGCCACAGGACATTGCTGAAGCTGTTATTGACCCCTCTAAAAAGGAAGCTGTTAGTCTGCATCGCGGAGAGTTACCACCCAGTAAACAAGGAGAGGTGGAAGAAGAGGATTTATCGAGAAAAGACAAGGTAAATAAAGCATTTGACAGTTTTAGCCTTCCACACTAGTCTTATCCAAGTAATGATATTGTGTTGAAAACAAGATCATGGCATAAAGGATGTTATTATTGCCAACAGTATTTGAAAAAGCTGCACATGCAGGAGAGAGCTATAGAGGAGGTAAAGCTAGCAATCAAGCCTTTTTACCAAAGGAGAGACATCAACAAGGAAGAATACAAAGAGATTTTACGCAAAGCAGTCCAGAAGGTGAGTAATAAAAATAAGAGAGCCTGCTCACTGCTTTTATGTAGGTTTCTGAGGGATGATCTTATTTTACCTAACGATCGTATGTTCCTGGTCACCAGGTGTGCCACAGCAAGAGCGGCGAAATCAATCCAGTGAAAGTGGGAAATCTGGTGAAGGCATATGTGGACAAATACAAGCATGCTAGAAAACATAAAAAGGGCGAGGATTCGGGGAAGGTGCCTGAGGCACAAACGGAGGCAATGGAAATGAGTGACAGTCCATGAGGGGTCCAGAACAGGCTTTGACTTTGGGTTCTATGCCCGGACATTATCTTAAACTCTACAACCCTCCCAGTAAAGCGCCAAACTTAAATTTGCGTGCAGTTCCAAGATAAAGCATCTTTCTTCATTTAGATTTCTCCAAACTTTCCGCGTGTCTTTTGACTATATGGAGTAGAGCTCAGACACTTAACGGGAGACCCAAAGGAGCCCTGAAGAGGAGAACGCTATATAAATCCAGTAGCCCTCTCTGTGGTCAAGCATGTCACATTGAGGATGCGTTTTTTTTGTTTTGTGAAGATTCTTTTTGTTTTTTTCCATATTTTGTGGGAGGGATGGGGTATTTATGAGAGTCCAAAACACTTTGCCTAATCATGACGGTAAAAGTATGCAGTGTGCATATTTCTGACGTTTTGTTGCTCTAGTGAAAGACGCTGTTATGCAATTTTTGTAAAACATTTATCAGTATAGAAATGGGACAATTTTAGATTTAGTTGTAAATAATTGAGATTTGATATAATAGCCTGTATGTTTATTTGATCTTTGATGCCTGTTGCGACTGATCGGCATAAATGGTTCTTGTTTATAGGTTGTGTGACTTATGTTTTATATTTGAAAGTCTGTGTTTTCTGTCTTCCACATAAATTAAATAAAGTTAAATCTAGTCCAGCATATGATCAAACTCTTTTAAGGCATTTCTGAATGTTTTTTTCTTCAAATCGAAAAACCTAGGTTATACAAAAATAACTTTTTTTTGTTTTTGGTGTCAAAACAGCACAGCTAATCTTAAAGTATGTCTATTTCTTTGTTTGTTTTATCGATTTAATTTGTCTGATTTCTTTTTTTCCCCACTTTGTAATACTACTGTGGAGCAGGAAAAACTTTAAGACAAACATACTGTCATTATGTCAAGAAGTAACACTAATTTCCTCCAGAAAAATATCCCTTTTTCTTATATCACAATCTAACCTCAGGTTGCCATATCAAATAGGGTTCAATACAAACAAAAACATGTTTTTAATTTGAGCTCGTTAACACATTTAGCTAAATTGTTTTGGCAACATTTTATAGTACTATGGCCCAGAGTTTTGCGAGTGGACAGGTAACAGCAGTTAGCATGTGCCTCTTGTTTAGAGGAGTAAAGGCATTTGTCCATGCTGACAGCTTTAACCTAAACCTTTAATTAGTGAGAACAGTACAACTCTATATTACTTCTCGAACTAAAATATTCACAGAAACTGATTCCTGGTTGTTCAACATTTTGTCATCTATTGTACACTACTTTGTTTGCCTTTTTAATTGTACGTCATCATGTGTATTAAGGCTTAATGAAGCCAAGACTTGAAATTGAAGACTCAAACGAAACAAAAAACAGGTGCTCATTTTATCTGAATGTTTTTCTTTTTCTGCCTTTACTTGATTAAACAGGCCAGGTGTTTCTCAGAGGGAACACAAATAATAAATCACTGATGGAAAATTGTTTTTGGTTAATTTTTTGGCTTACTTAATGCCTCAGTTGTTACTGAGCCCATGCAGTGATTTCTCCCACACTGTTTTAAAGCCACATTCAGTACTGACGATTTCACATAGATTGAGTTAAGAATTGTTTTTTTTACTGTGATATTAAGATGCAGTTAAATGTCCAGGAGTGTGATTGTGCAGCTGCTGGCCATTTTACCCACAGAGTCTCACGTGGTGACAGACCTTCTGATCTTTACTTGTAAATGACTTGACCCATCTGGGATGCTATTTTTACCTCAGATCACACTACCGACTACTTTCCAACTAATCCAAGTCTTTCTTTTTTTTTAATGACACTTGAACTTACTGTACGTTTTAAGCGGTAACATATTTTTATATTTATATTTCTCAATGTCTGATGCCTTGTGTGCTGGGAGGAAAAAAGGAACTGTTTGATTTTCAAGTTTTAAACATTTTATTAACATTTTACAGTTTCCAAACATTGTGGAAATACAGTGATACAGGAGATCCGTTATTGATAGAACATCTCTGTTCTTAGCATTTACAAGTTATTTATCACAGTGTACAATGTAATTTCTGTGTGACGAAGGAGACATTCAGCAGAATAAGATTTTTTTTTAAAGTTAACAGGATTCTAACGTCACACAAATGAGACAATGACATCTGACCCACGTAAAAAAAACAAACGTGTTGACTTAAGATAGATTTACATCTTTAAAGGTTCTATAAATATGTACTCGATAAGCAAGACCTACTAGAAAAGTAAAACTTAACCATATTTGCCAGTTGGTCATGAGGGAAACAAACATCTACAGTGATCATAAAGGTGTGTGCGCTAGCCGTTTTAGCTTTGAGCTCAGGAATGTAACAGTCAGTGTGTTGTAAAGCTTATTTCTAATCGAGTAGCATGTAGTGAATGGTCAGTGTGTGCACTTAAAGTGAAAAGCAGTTCATTAAACGTCCTGATGATTAACTGTGCCAAAGTCCTCGGCAGCCACTTGAATTCAGCTCATTTGTCTTTTAGCAGGAGTGACGCTTTCAGGTCGCCGGATCAGCTTTTTCTCAGCAGAGCTTCAGACAAGGGAGTGAACAGGGATCAGATTTCAGAAGTGGTCGGCGTAAGGTATGGCGGCCGACAGCTCCTCAGCCGTTGGCAGGGTAAACACAGAGCTGATGAGATCAAAGAGGCTGTTGTGTGAAATCTGAAGGCTGACGTTGGTGCTGTGAAGAGAGGACGCCCCCTCAATCTGGGCCATGTCATGGAAGTACCGGCAGATCAGAGGCACCACCTGCAAGGCACAGGACAGGGACTTTTAACCAGACTGCAATACAAACCTGACCGGAGCTAAAAGAAGGAGATGGCACAGGGAGGTGAAAAAATGGAAACGGCAGTTACTTTCACCACGATGAGCTTCTTTTCCAGAGATTTTTCATCAGGGAACTTTTCTCCAAAGCACATGTTGATGGTGTACTCAGGAGAGCCTCCACGGTTTTCCTTAAACTGTTTGAGTTCTGAAACAGAAACCAGTCAAAGCTTTGCCTCAATTACAATATGATTTGGTTTGAAAAATACTGAAGCGGTAAGTTATAATTCTATATATTTTCCACGAGGTGGCAATTCATACGGTACTTACCATCAACATACTTTTCAAAGCTGAGGAGCTCCACCATGGTGTTCTGGGGCAATTTCTGAGGGTTTGGATGGGCAACGCTGGGGTCACTGGTGCTGGCAAACACATGACATCTGTCCTGCCTCCAAGCGTAGATCCCCGTATCTCGTACCTCCAGGAACAGGCCGCGCTGGATGCTGTTTAGTATGCGGTTGGTGTATTCAATCTGCAATAAAGTAGGCTGTGGTCAGAACGGCTAGCAAGAAAAAAAGAGTCCTAAAAAAAACCCGTTAAATCAAATGATTTTTTTTTTTTTAAATGGGGGGTAATATGTTATTATTTAAAAATGTATCACTCTAATCTACAAATTAATTGCAGCAAGAGAATATTTTGAATATTCAAATATTCAGTTTTAAGTTCATACAGAAATGATTGTAATAGGATTGTGAAAGATTTTAATAAAAAATTTAAAAAAGCTATTTTGCTTTCCTAACTAAATGCATGATTAAGAAAAGACAGAATTATGAGACATTGTTTACTGAAGGTTTCTAAGACGCGTTACAACAAATGTCCAGCTGATGTGATGATGTACCTGTTTGTGGTCCAGCAGATCCGCAGTGGTGGGGAAGCAGATCTTATGTCCGCTGAAGTCAGGGACTTCGTGGTTGTAGTGGAGCTGGAGGAGGTTGGCCGTCAGTGTCCTCTTTAACACCTCTCGTTTCCTGTAGTGGATGGAGATCTCCAGGTCACACAGATTTGGCTGCTGAGGTAAACCGAAGACTGGGGTAGGATTTGCTGTTTTAAAAAAAAAAAAAGAGAGACAAAAAGAAAGCTACATATATCAGATTTTAAAAACAGAAACGAGTAAGCAAGATAATTTAGTTTTCTTTGACTCGACGTACCCTCGATGTAGGGCGACTGACCCTCTGGTAGGAGCTGTGGGAGGTTCTCGGCTGCAGCTTGATAACTTCCAAGGATAGCTGGGTTATGTTGGACATAGCTATTTTCCCACATTTCCTCCCCTGTTTGACATAGAAAGTTAAATTACAACCCTTATCACCTTTATTAAGAACAACCGAAGAACCACGCACGAGTAAAGGAGATTACTAATGTACAAATAATGTACAAACAATACCTGTTGGTTGGGCGCCCAGATCCAAAGCCTCGAAATGATTAAGCAGATTGTGCTGTGGGAAGAAAAAAAAAAGTATTAAACGTAGTTCAATAAGTAGTTAACAGAAGTGAAAGTGCTTTCACTGCACCTCATTTACTGAGGGGAACTCCTCTGTGGGGGAGATGAAGATGTCCGGAGCCATGTCTGAATCCTCGTGGGAGTTTTGAGCGGGGAGGCCCTCGTGGTTTCCTGACCTGGCCGTCTTACCCTCGGTGTTGACGATCTCATAGATTTTGTGAGGGTCGTCCGGATTTTTGGAATTGTCTTTTATCATCCTGAACTGCGTGGAGAGATTGTTCATAGCGCAGCGGAAGTTGGTTTTCCACCTGGCCTTGTTGTTGGGGAACTCCTTGATTTTCCCGCTGGCCACTGCCCAGGCCTGTGGACCACACGCAGGTAAGAGGAAAAGCACTCAGGCAGGTACTCCACATTTGCCTAAGCTTTACCTGAGCTATTCAGTGCACAGCAATTTCCTAACGAAAGACATGTGGGAGACTTTAAACACATCCCACATTTGCAGCTTCATGTAAAAACAGAAGATGCAGTTCTGCCAAAGAACACCTTTGTCAACTATTCTGACCAAGTCTTGCTTGGGTATAATGTGTTAAGTAGCACTTATTAAGGGCTTATTCATCATATTTTGCGCCCTTGAACTCAGCTGCATGTTTACTGTGGTTTCTTGCACATAAGCTCTAAGGAAATGGTTTGTTTTGCTTGACTTCCTCCTTTAATCAAAGCATCTGACTGTGTGGTTGCACTGCATCACACCATTAAAAACACACACAGACATTATATTATCAAACTTAAGTCATAAAAGCCTTTCCCCTAAGGTGTCACAATCGTTAAACCTACCCGGAATATTTTGCTGTCCTCATCATTGCAGTCCTTTCTGGAGTTGTGCTTCCAGGGGACTCTGAACTTGTTTTGCTCCACATAGCAGAGGCCGCTGTACTGGCCCGTCTCCACCTGCTGCAGGAGCCAGCCGGCGAACTGAGGTTTGGGAGGGCTGCGAGCAAACACGAGACTGGTCAGTAAAGAATAAAGAATAAAAGAAAAAAATGCGCACGGCTTTCAGAAAGCTGCCGAAACCCTGACCTGCTCTATAGACTGGGTGTTACAGTGTTGCAGGCCCGTACAAACAAGTGCAAACTTTTTAACAGCGAGACTACTTAAAGCATTTAACTCTCCAAGAAAAAAAAAGCAGTACAGACGTGTCATCATACCTTTGCATTGCACCACGGAGTTCCTGTGTCAGATCCGGCCGGTCCGGTCACCTAAGCGGCCTTTATACACATCACAAGAAGTCTCCTCCCCCTCCTCCTCCTCCGTCAGTCCTCGTAGGATATCCGGGGAGGGTGAGTTTGATTCTCCACACAACACGGGCGTCAGTCTGTCATTCTCGGCCTGACGAAGGCCGGCGAGCTGCTGCCGGTGAATAAATGGAGCGCCCCCTCTGCGGAGCCGCCGCTCCGAGGAGGAGCGGCCGCTTCCCGTTTCGAGAGAAACTGAAAGTCTGCAGGCACATTGGTTTGTCTTGTCGTCATTGCATCATCAGACGTTTCCTGGAGGGTTTGCCCCCTTGGTTTTCAGCCCGTGCATGGCACCCCCCCCCCCCCCCCCCCCATCCCCCACAGTCTTGACTTTAAATTTGAGCTGCAGTGTAACACTGAAAACACCTGTTCTACCTACAGCCTGTCGTGTATGAGTCAGGCCTTTTTAATACAGTTTCCCAACTATCTGAATAGTAATAGTCACACTAAAATATGACATAATTGTTTTGGGCTTTGGATTTGCACAAGGATAGGTTGCAAGACACACTACTTTAACACCTGGAGAGAGTGAAGATTGTTAACTGATACTTCCACTTTTTTTCGGCCCTGCTGTACTTTTAGATCCTGACTGAAATAGTGTCCCGTGAAACCACCCGGTTCCAGCGAATTCAGACAAGTGAATCCACCAGTGAATGCCCCACAGCAATGCACGGTGCATGTGCGTGCTTTCTGACTGGGTCCTGCAAGTGTGTTTTTCTGTCATGAGTCAGAGGAACTGGTACACAGACACGTTCTAGTCAACACGATGAAAAGCTGCTGGTTTGAACTACTTCATCCAATTGAGGTGCTATTTCCCTTTTCACCTTCAGGATTTATTGTCCACAATGCATAGTCTTGTTTACCCTTTAACCCACAATCCCACAGCTCAACAAAAAGGCTTCAAACTTGCTTTCATTTATATTACATTGGTATTCACGCAGTGAATAGCATCTCCTGTTCGCACCTTTTTGGGTTTTTTTTTTTCCCCTCTGGGGGAACTCTTTGCATCAATCTTATTGTGTCTCGACCACATATTCTGTTAGTAAGAAATATAGCTCACAGGTACACTGATCCTCCCGCACATGTGTGAGGAATAGGGAAGTGCTAAAGACTTCAAAAGGAGCGCTTCCCTTTTTCTGGTCACCGGGAGTAGCATGTCGACGTCTGAGTCCCTCTCGAAAGACACAGGTTTACTGGGGGACCTCTGAGGAAGGACTCTGGTTAGTAATAAATCACATACAAAGATCCATATCCTCTTACATAATTGTTATTTATACTGCAACAATTACATTATTTTCAAATGGTCAGTAAGGCTGAATTATTGTCATGTCAAAGTCTTCTTTAATGAAGAGGGTTTTTACTGATGGGATCCATCTCAGCAGACTGTTGATGGATTTCTTAAAAGAAAATTTGAGTGTTACAACACACCAGCCTGATTCTCGTCACCAGACACACCTTTACCTGATGGGAAGACTCTGACAAATCAGAGCAAATTGACATGTTTGTGTATGTGTATAAAAATGAAACTAAGACATGCATTTCTCTTTGAGAAATGTTTCAAATGCTAATGTGTTGAACAGGCCAAAAAGGTTGTACGGGTTCCTCCGGAGGGACATTCCAAAGTCCTTTTTCGAATGCTGTTCCTGTCTTTGACCAAATGCTCCAACAGCGCCTCAAAAATGCTGAGGTTGGAGCTCTGGGGAGGATTTGTTACTCCACAAGACCAAGCGTCACAACTTTTCCGACCAAATAATGTGTCATTCAGCAAAATGACGACTCCCCCTCCCACTTCCCTTCAACATTCTCAATTTTTTCCAAGGACAATCAGGTACTTCGATCAAAATGTGCTGTGCTTTCAGTTTCAGTTGTTCAGTTAATGTCTTTTTAGGGAATGAGCCCTATAATGCAAAAACACAACTTTATGTCAGTCAAGCCTTGTTATTTTTGAATGATTTTCAATGATAAACCAAAGAAATTTGCACCTGACCATAAAGCAGAAAAGCAGCTTTGGGTCAATGTGGTTTTTCATGATAACAGTTCAATGAAAGCATCACAGTTCACTAAAATATCATCCGACTTCCTCATTATCAGCAAAATTCAATGGCTCAGGGGTGACATCGGTTATCATATTATTTCAGGATAGAGATATCTGTCTAATCATCCTGCTGTGTACAGGGATTTGAAGTCCTCCTGGTGTTCTGTTGTAGCGCCCCCTGCTGATGACAAAGCAAGGCCAAGCAAATTAAGTGGTACAAAGAAAATCATACTGAGGATGAAAGTGGGGATTCCCATGCAAAGCTCTTTCAATGAGGAAGCACAAAAAACAGGCCCAGTCACATTACATTGCACATTGGAGCTAATTTTGAACAGGGGAAATATGTGCAGTTTCATATTTCTATGAATGGGATTTGATTTTTGAATGGAGATTTCTCTGATTCTCATGTAGTGAGAATTGTGCCACATAAAGTTTTCAGTTCTTTCACCAAGGGTCCATTTATTTTCATCCACTCTTTAGTTTTAGCTGTGTTTGAATAATTTTTTATTATGAGCATTTTCTGAAGCATGCAACTGAAGCTTTTCTTGAGGAAGACAAGCTATAACTGAGTCATGAATTCAGACTTTTGGAGGTGGTTTGAACACATCTCGTCAGAACAAAAGTTGGAATATTGGGGAGGCTGTTTTTTTACCCACCAAATGGAGGGCAGACTTCACAAATGAGCAAAACCAGCTGTGCCAGGTGTTCAAATAGACTTTTAGAAAGTGAGTCATACATGATTATTTAATGTTGTTTGAATTAGTTAACTTGTACAAGTTTTTGTTTCGAATACTTTGCGGAACTTTTTAAACTTTCACGGTCTAAACCATCTCAAAATGTGAGGGAATTTCCCTCTTCGAATGAGACGGAACAGAAAGAAATTTCCCTTGTAATGACCACATTATGTCGCCAGAGGGCGCACGAGTTCAATATTTTATTACCTGCCTCCATCTCTGCACGTTGACTTCTCTTACTTTTTTTTTTCGCAGATCCGTAGAGTTATCTTCGTAAACAACGTGTTTTTCAGTACTTTGACAATGCCAAAAAAAACGAATAAAACACACACAAGTTTTGGCTTGAAGGGGTCAAAAGTTACCGAGCACTGTCCACTCAGGGGTGGTGCTGAAATGCTGCGTCCGCGCTCCGGGATGGATTTATCTGAGGAGCGTCCAAAAGTTGAACTATAAAGTCTACAGACACAACTTTCCAAAAACGAGCAGGGAAAAAAAGCGCACACGCAGCGTTTTGAGCTGTTACATATATTTGACACATCGTAACCCCAAGTTTACGCGAAACTCGTTCGCTTTTCCGGAGTCCTCATTGCCAATAAATGTGCGCTCAGAGACACGCTTTCAGTGTATTTTTTCTCTGTGAATCTGTATCCAGGATACAGCGGAGAGCGTCCTTGGTATTTGCGATTGTAAAGAGCTGGAGGAGAAAGATGGCCGAGGGGGAAGAATGATAATTTGAAGACTTGCCAGGAGTACATTGTCAGATTCAAAAGGCATTTCAAAGAACCAAACCATTCAGTTTTTCCATTCTCTCCTCTTTTTCTTCTTTCTCTGTCTTTTTTTCTCCCCCTCTCTCCCTCTCTGCCTTTCTTTTCGCACGGTTGCAAGCCGTTTGAATCGACCAATGGGCCTTCAAGTTAGAGACATTGGAATGTAAATGAGCCCAGCGCGTGCTCCCGGGCGCAGTGAAAGCTCGGGATTGTTTATTGAGCTCCCTGAGCCACGCGCCTGGCTCGGGGGAGTCGGCGTGCAGAAGAATCACACAGCGGGGGCGGGGCCTCGCCACGAAGCGTGCGTCTGCAAAAAAGAAAAAGAAAAAAAAAAGTGGGTGGGTGGGGTGTGTGTCGGGGCGCGTGTTGAAAAAGAGGAGTGCTGCCAAAGTTTGGGTCAGATCGGCTCGTGGAGTAAGTAGTCAAGAGAGACTTGGACTGGAGTTAGCCACACGGTCCCCACGCGAAGGACACGAGAGCTGTGCACTGCCAACCACTCCTGCTCTTCCTCTTCTCGTTGTGCCTCTGAGGCTGCACTCGCCTCCCCCCCCCCCCCCCCCACAACCCCCCCCCCCCCCCCCCCTCCCCCCCCTCCCGGAAAAAAAAAAAAAACTCTCATCCAGATGGAGACTACGACCATCACCACCACTCAGACGGCCTTCACCTTTGGACTAAGCGAGAGGTGCGCCAGCATCAGCCTGCACGCGCCGGCCCAGGACCCGGAACCCCCGGCCCAGCCCGACCCCGGCGCGCCCGGGTACCAGAGCAAGAGCAAGGTGCTGAAGAGGCAGCGCTCCAGCTCCCCGGAGCTGCTGCGCTGCAAGCGGCGGCTGACGTTCAGCGGCCTGGGCTACTCCATCCCGCAGCAGCAGCCCGTGGCCGTGGCGCGGCGCAACGAGCGCGAGCGCAACCGGGTCAAGCAGGTCAACATGGGCTTCCAGACGCTGCGCCAGCACGTGCCCAACGGCGCCGCCAACAAGAAGATGAGCAAGGTGGAGACGCTGAGGTCCGCCGTGGAGTACATCCGGGCCCTGCAGCAGCTCCTGGACGAGCACGACGCGGTGTCCGCCGCCTTCCAGTGCGGCCTGCCCTCGCCCACCCTGTCCCACAGCTACTCCGCCGACCCGGAGTCCCCCCACTCCGCCTACTCCTCCGACGAGGGCGGCTACGAGCCGCTGAGCTCCGAGGAGCAGGAACTGCTGGACTTCACCACCTGGTTTGACCGGTACTGATGCTGCCATGCGTCACAGCGACCTCCAGCATCCCTGCTGAAAAGTAAAAAAAAGAGGTTAACTTCTATCAGACATGCTGACAAAGACTACTCAAAAGCACCCATCGGTTGTGCCAATATAGGTGATCTGTCGCCTCCCTCCCTGACCGACGCTGCGTCGGCAGGAGTGAGGGAGCCAGTGCGCGTTTGGGACGAGAGAGAAAGAGGGGGGGGGGGCGTCTGGTGGTCAGTAGTCGTCCCAAAGTGTCCGCGAGAAACGGGGCAGCATGAGCTCAGTCACACGCCGACGCGTGGAAGCGAAGAGCTGTTGCTGTTTCATCCGAATAAGTGCAATTAATATGCGACTGTAGGCGTAAAGAGTTCCAGAGTGGGGGGGGTATGTCCGGTGAGAGCCCTGACCAAACCGGGACTGCCCGTCCTCCTCATCCTCGGCTGTCCGCTGGAAGACGCAGCAGAGACTGAGCGTCATCGGACTTTTGCTGTACATTTCATAACCACGCTGTACCATATAACGAGTTGTTTTAACACGAGAACGTATTTTTGTACATTGAGTCCAACAAAAAAACAAAACAATGTTCTTTGATAACTCTTACTGCCACATTTCTGACAGTGTTTTGTTTTTTATTTTCCACTTGACGGTGAGCTGGCGTGCGTGAGGCGTGAAGCCGGACAGCAATATCGAGACTACCTGTGAAAAAATTGTAGTGTTTTCTTTTGATAGCTGATAAGGAGACATTGTATGCACTTGTTCTCAGTTTTAAGTAGCCTGACGTGTAAATATTTGATTTTAACAGATATATTTTGTGTAAAACATTTTTTATAAATAAAATGAATCTATTTATACTATCTGCTGGCAGTGCTTTGGTTCTTTATCTGAATTGCACACACATAAGCTACACGTGTGTGTGTGACATAGAGAGAGAGAGAGAGAGAGAGAGTGTGTGTGTGTGTGTGTGTGTGTGTGTGTGTGCGTGTGTGTGTGCTCTTGTTTGGGACGCAGCAGTATGTTAGTGGTGACGGTAATTGAGCAAACTAGGAAGCTTCTCTTCTATTCAAAGCCCCTGCATGACCTTTTCCCGACTTGGTTTGGGCACAGGGAGAAAATTGCGCAGCTGGGTGACCGCTCAATAACCATTATTGACGCGCAACTTCTACTGGGCTTTGTCTCCATTCAGGGCGAGGAGATTAATATTACGTTTCATGCATTGCATTGTTTCTTTTGCATACTCTGCCTTCAACCAGCAGCTCAGAGAGCCCGGAGCGGAGGGGAGGGGTGAGCGGAGGGAGCAATTCACTTCACTCAAAGGGTATAGACACTTTGAAATATAGCCCGGGGAAAGTCAGCGAGACAATGAGACGGGTCAGAATTCTTATTGCCCGATTGAGATCAATCTAAATAAAACCCGGGGTTGTAGACTAGTTGTATCCCCGACTGTGTTTTTCATAACGCACATAGGCCAATCAAAAAGCCCATCTCCTGCGAAATGGGGAGCACAGCACCCCATTGTGAGCACCATTGTGTGAGCCTTTGCGCCTCATTATGCGAATTATGGAAGATCGTTCATTGTAAACAAACACTGCAGCCCAATTCAGCGAGGCAGAAGAGAAATAACGAGTTCCCTTTCACCTGGTGCTCTCCATGGGACAAGGAAATTGTGAAACAGACTGAGGCTGATCCTATAGTCAGTTATACTCTGTAGTAAACCGAAACATGAAAATACGTCTCTCAGCCAACATTTGGTCAAAACTAAACAAAACATATGTCTTAGGCCCAGATACTCTTCCATCCAAAACTAATCTGACCATGAAAGATATAAAGAGGCTTTTGGTAAAGTTTTGGTTAAGACTTCTTTTTTTTCTTTTGACCCCCTATCCAATCAGACACAACAGCCTGCAGGTGTGAGCCACGTGCCTGTGCTCCGGGACAAAGGCTGGGGCACTCCCATTGGTTACTGGCTCGTGCATGTGAGGCCTGTCAGGTGGAGGCAGTGACAAAAATCAAACAAGTGATAAATGACATTAATTACCCTTTGCATTATAACCTCCAAGGCCACTGATGTGGATAAAGACAAACCAGCGTTGGGTGCAAAAAGAACCCCGCTGCTCCATTATCTTCCAGCTCAAACGCTGCCTCTAACGCCGTTCAGTGTCAGGCAGAGGCCAGGGCACAAAGTTAAAATAAGCGCTTGTCTCACGTCCTCTTAAGATGGATATTCTATTCTCTCTTTGGCCATAATGGGTGGAGCATGCGCGAAAGTAGATTTATTCATGCCGTTTTGTGCGTGGGTAATTTTCTCCCTGACAATACATAATAAGGCCGATGTTAATTTTTAGCGTGGCTGCATATCAATCACAAGCAGCTCATAAGTGTTTTCACGCGCAAAGGACATGATGGATGCCTAAACCATGGTGATGGCAAGTGCCCGGTTAGTAAATCTAGCCAGGACAGGAGAGATGAGAAGTCATTTGTGGCTCTGATTCAGCCAACATAATGCAGTTAATATCTGAACAAACAGGAGATTGCTTGCGTGAATTGTGCTCCGATTAACCAGTTTGGCTTGCGAACTATATTCTAGCCTCATCGATATGTAGACGTCCCCCAGATGGAATAAATACAACATTAATGCAGCAAAATCACAACAACACATCACACAACATATAAAAAGGAAATTGCAAGATTATTAAAGTTTCTGATATTGTATCTTTAAAATGCATGTTTCACTGGAAACATACACATTTCCTTGGGTGATGGATTAGTAGTTTTTCTTGTAAAAACCCAACTGAACATAACATTTCCATAAACTGTAGTCTATTTGTCAACATCCTTGAGTGCTCTGTTGTAATTTTAACTAATATATAGCAGCAACAGGTGCCTCAGGAAGAATGGTTATCCACTGAGTCTGACATTTTCCACCCAAATAATACTTGACTGCAATACAAGCAACCCCCAACATTTTTTTTTTCACTTTGTGAAAAACTATACTATGACATAGAGTTGAAACAGCCTATTTATCTTGATGTTTCATATATGAGGTCTAGAGCGTCTGATGGCAGGGGGCAGGGGGGATATGAGAAATGAAAGTAAAACAGATGTGGACATAGATAACTAGATGGTGGGCAGCCTTGAGCACTGCTTGCAGAGGTGTTAATGTTTAAGCAGAGCCTACAGGTACGTTTTTATTTAACATAGACAGAAAACATGGTCAACTGATGTAGGGAGTCATTAACCCCTTATTCCCTCAACCCTTACGCACGTTTGAGACCAGCTGCCAAAGTTGAGGATTGCAATCAATGTCCTCTTTCAGAAGAGAATAAACGGCTTTCTTGACCAACATCTATGTAAACGTAGCTCTACTCTCACATCCCAAAATCTGATGATTTAACTGACAGTAAAAAATTAGCAATATGCTTTGTTTTAACTATAAATATATTTTGCATTGTTTGCATAAAAGCACGCAAGGCAGACATGATGCACACTGGCTGCAGTAATACTGCAGTGATGCAGTACAAAATTATACTGGATATAGACACCTGTAGCTACAGATGGCAGCTTTATCTCCCACAATTTATGTCCTCTCTGGCAGATGAACCCTGAGGTGGTGAAAAAGAGAGCTGCCTGATGCGGAAGATCTTCGCAAACCCGCTCCTTAGTGAGGAAATAAAATGGATCACCTGTACTAATGTGGCACTTTTCTACTCTAGGATATTTTTTCATCAGCAAAAAACATTTGCATTTGAAACCTCTGTTTTTTCTGTTTTAGCAACCGAGGTGGGGAGCAGTGCTTCATGTTTACTTATCTTTTGTATATGTTTATGTGAATCATCCTTTTTTTAATTTAGCAAAATGTATGTCAGTTAGAATCTTTCAGGTATTAATATACAGGGCCTTCTCTTTGACTAAATGGTCTCTTAATTTTTTGCGTTGAAAAATTATCTAAGATATAAATATCCAATGTTCCCGTTTGAAAATCCCATTTCCAGTGTCTTCCTAAGTCTTACGAAATCAGAGTGGTGCTAATGGCCACCAAATCACGTTTATTTTCTGACAGAAAAAGTCAATCATTTGACTCGTGTTTTCCCTCTGTCTCATAGAGAAGAGATCTTTTTCTCTTTTCAGCCGAACAGCGAAAAAGAGCCTGAATGCGGAGGGCTTTGCAAGTTTAACCGACACCTCTGTATGAGAGTGAAAAGGCCTTAAACTTCAGACGACCCAGCAGAAGAAGAACCCGGCTCAGGCCCGAAGGATGGAGGCATGGAAGAGGTGGGGATGTGTGGCTGGGTGGAGGTGGCGGGGCTGTGATTTGCATGGTCCATTGTGCTGCACAAGTTTGGGTGCTTTTTTTTTGGCTTGGGCCCTTTTGGCCATTTACTTCCACTCTGGCTGGCTGTGGCGAGCTGTGAATAGTCTCTGCTTGGAGGAGACACAAAGGCGCTTTTGTGCTACGGCCGCACCATATTCATCATGTAATGCCTGTAAGACAAATCTGATTGGACGTCTCTGTCACTTTGATGTGGGTCCAGAGTGCGAGTGGCCCTGAGATTGCTAACTTCACTCTCTATTGCCTATTCTGCAGCATTGATATGGAGGGTGGAGGCCACGGGGGTGTGAGGAGAGGTAGCTTGGGGGGAGAGTGAGGAGGTATAAGGGAGAGCAGGCAGGGGGTAGTCCTCATTATTTGCAGGAGCAAATTCATAATAAATTTCCCCATTCTACAAAAACGGGTCGAGATGATTGACACCACTTTACGCCAGGCGGAACAAAAGCCCTGATTTGAGCAGAATACCAAATGAATAGGGCGAGCGTGGACTCAATTCAAACAATTTTAATCTCTCCCCGTCCTTGCTTATTTCTCTTCTCCTCCACTCTCCCCCTTTCCCTCACTTACCCTCTTTTTTCAACTCAACTCTCCTGCCTCTTTTGTCCAGAGCATTCTCATCTTACAGGGTAATTCTACTCCAACGGATGTGCTAATTGTGCTGGGTTAAACTGGATGCTGCTGG